CCAAGGAGTCCGTGGTCCACATGGATACGGAGTAATGCCATGAAACTTATAATAGGACATGAACTGTGGTGTGAAAAATGCTTGATCACCTACAAATCCCTTAGGAACGCAGTTGTTCTCCTCTGTCCATTGTCGAAAAGCCCCCAGAGTCTCGGGCGCTTCCAGGCTTGTGAGAGCCGTAGCCCACAGGAGATTCGAGGCACCGTCAATGATGACCAAAGCCAGATAGGCTTTAGAACCGAAATTGATTTCTTCGTGATCAACAAAAATGAGATCACCGAAGGATGATGCTCTCAACCCTGCGATTCTGGCTCGCCGAGGCGTAGGCACGGAGGTGCTGCAAACACGACAGCCTTTGACAATGCGGTCGTACTTGTCATAGATCTCTCCTGGCAACCCAAGCATGCTGGTCCTTCGTCGAAACTGAGCTGGACTCATGTGGTAGTGCTTCACATGCAATTTGTAAAGCTCAACATCATTGTTCAACTTTTCCAACATGCGCTGATGCTGCGGAGAAGCCCTTGAGACCTCGCGACCTGGCAATGGAAGCGCGACCCTCCTAGGTTCTAGTGACTGAGCCTCTGGGGCTCTCGGAGGAAGCAAACCTGCATCCGCCGGTTCGGAAGGTTCGTACTCTTGAAGATCCGGATCATCCTCAGGAGCAAGAGGAGGAGGAGGAGGAGGAGGAGGAGGAGGAGGAGGAGGAGGAGGAGGAGGAGGAGGAGCCGATTCCTTGGTACCTTTCCCTGAGGAAAGCTTCCCTTGGCTCGAATCCTTCTCGCTACCCTTGCCTTTCCCTGTGGAAAGCTTCCGGATGCTCCTGTCTTCTTCGAGCTGTCTTCAGGCTTGCCTTTGCTAATCATGTCCTCTGGTGATCCTACCGCACGGGTTGGATCCTTGGACTTAGCTGGTACCGAGGTTCTACTCTCGATACCTCCAGGCAAAATCTTGAAGATAGTCCTACCGTTCCAGGAATCAGTAGTTCTTGAGGTAGGAGGCTCAGAAGAACGCCAGTCATCTTCTTGAGGAGCACTCTTGCCCTTGGAGAACTGCATGATCGTCTTGCGCTTGTTGTCCAGGTACTCCAATGGGATAGGCACAGAGCCCACCTTGGTTTCGTACTTAACCTTCCTCATCTTCTTGTGGATGCGGATCATCTCCATGTCGGCTTCGTTGATCACCCATTCATCATCTGTCGCCAACACGAGATTCTCGGGTACCTCTTCCTGAGAAGAGCATCCCTCGGTCTTCTGATGGAAGCCGTACTCGTAGTGGGAGAAGTAGGTGAGGAAGCTCGACTTCTTGTGTTTGTTGAACCGCACATTCCACATCAACTGACTGAGATCGAGAAGGTCAAGTACCAGGTGTGAGCTAGGTGCAACCTTCAGCTTCACATCCTTGATTCCCAGAACAGGGCTGCTAAGCAAGGCCTTGTCCGGATGGAGTTCGAACTGGAACCTAAGGTTGCGCATCTGCGGCAAGGGCATGAGAATAGGAACATGTCCCTGCTCCACAATGTCGAACTCTGTGGATTGAACTGCATAATCCCGGTCGTACATGCAAATGACCAACTTCTGGTTGCACTTGGTCGACTCGGAATTGGCAATGGTGAACTGAGAGGTGGTCTCAGCAATGGTGTACCAGATGCCACAGTTCTGATTCTTGTCACAGAACTCCATGAGGTCCTGTGCGGCCACTCTCGAAGCCATTGCTCTCGTACACCCCAAGTCCAACACCATCGCGGTCGGCGTCAAGGGCTGAGAGATGAAAGCTTCTTCGATCTTGTCGATCTTCTCTTCGGTGGCCATGAGAGAAAGGTTCGGAGAGTTGAAGTGTTCAACGAAGAAGGTTGTGGCGGCTGTGGTGCCACTCGGGGCAGAATCAGCAAGCTGGGCTTGTCCATCCTCTCCGGATTTTCCATCCTTTCCATCTTTGCCAACTTGCTCTTTCCTTTGCCCTTCTTTCCTTTCTTTCCTTTTCCTTTGGCTGCATAGGACTCCTCTGACTCATGCCAGGACCAGTCATCCCAGGAGTGATCGCTCCACTGGTAATCTTGCCACTGTCCTTCTGCCTGCCATGCTTCTGAATCCTCGGCAAGGTTGGACCTGCCTTTCTTCTTCTTGAAGAAGCGCCTTCCTTTGGATCCTTTTCCACCTTTTCCTTTGCCTTTGCGGTGGCCCTTGAATCCGCGCTTCATCTTGCGGCCTTGGAAGCGCCGCTGGAACCATGAATAAGATTCATCGTCGTAGACCCAGAAGGCGTCCTCATCTGCTTCCAGGAAACCTTCTGTGCCATGCTGATCTCTGAGCCGTTCGTTGGCTCTTTCCATTGCTTGCTCTGCCGTGAGTCCTTCTGGTTCTTCTGGTGGAAATCCTGCTACGAAGGCTCTGACCTCTGCATTGTTCGGGTCCACAATCGGCATGTAGGTGTCGTTCCACGCTTCTTGCATCCTCTGAACAGAGAGTTGAAACCTGGTAATCCAACGAAGCATGTCTCCATTCCCGCGGTGCAAATTCATGAACTGTTGGAAGCGGTAGAGGAAAACATTCGCTGCTCCCTTCACGAAGAGCGGCCGCAGGAAGCTCTTGAAGTACTTCACTCCGTTGTTGGGATCCTTCAGGCGATCTCTGTCGAAAAGCCTTTTGTGGATTGCTGCTTCACCTTCTAGCCGATTTCTAAAGCTGGTCCACGCTTATCATTGTCGAGTCTAGCTCAGTAATGTCACACCAGTCATCGATCGCATCCTCATAAGCGAACCAACTACTTCTTCCATCGTAAGATGGAGGTGCTTTGGTGGTCACCTGCTGGAAAGCTGAAAGACGGTGTAGTTCATTGAGATGACGATGATTAGTCGCAAAAGACTCATTGCCTTGAAGGAGGTAGTAGTCATCATCTCCTCCATCATGCTCAAAGATAGTCGCAGAGTGGCTAGCCATTGCGCTGTTCTTGGATCGAGCCCCAAAACCTATCAGTGACTGGGTAGCTTCACAGCTCGCAACAGCACTTCGCTGCAAGGCGGAGGGACTCCGAAGTTCGCAGATCTTTTTCCCAGGGCAATCCTTCACGGATCCTGTCGTAGCTGAAGAGCTTCGCTGCTCCTCCTGAGGCGCCGTATGGCAACGCTAAGTCGTCGCGACTTCTAAGTTCAGTAGCCTGAAAAGAAGGCCTAAGGTGCACCTCGAGAGGAATATGCAGCAGAAACATGTAGGTCCTTGCTCGTGAACAGAAGGCAAAAATCAAAAATGCCTCATGAACTGACATGCCCCAAAGAGGGTTGCCGTATGTTCATGCGCTTGCCGCAGATTGCGACGTGTGGTGCATCGCCTTTCTCTTCTTGGCAGAAATGAAGGCACCATCAAGACGAAACTTCCAGCAGCCGGTCGTCACGAAGCGGCGAACTGAATCCTGTTTCTGGCTCTTGGTCATGCCATCAGCAGCCTGATGGTCAGAACCGCACCATTGAAGGTTCGTGCCCTGCTCGATCAAGTGCTGCGAAACACTCTGCAGCTCAAGAGCGGTGTACTTGTCCTTCAAAGAATACGCTGAGGAAGCCCCGTCCCCTTTCTCCAACACATCATACATGGCCTTGGCGTCGATGACCAGTGTAGCCTTCACCTTGCCGGCGCTGACGACCGCGTGGTCCGGGTTCACGAAGCCGCCGAGGAGCTCGTACCAAGTGAGTCTGGCAAACATAGCCTCTTGTTCAAGCTCCGACAAAGCTTGTGCTTCAGCTGCCAAGCTCGAACTCGCCACGCGCTGTAGCTTGGCCGATCTCCAGCTCACCAAGTTAATGCGTCCTTCACCTCGTTCCAGGTCCCGAGGATGGATGAGTCCCAACAGGAACCCTCCTGTGGATGAGCCCCCAGGACGATTTGCCAAGGCCGCATCACTGAAGCCAATAAAACAAAGCTCCTCGGGCTTGGCTCCCAGGTTCTGGACCTTGACTGAAATATGCTTCGAGGCCTGGATCTCACGAACCAGTTTGTTCACCTGGTCGATCAGGGAGTGGTCTCGGGAGCTCAAGGAGGATTGCAGCAGACTGAGTTTGGCTGCATGAAATGGTGCAGTCTGGGTGACCCTCCACTGTGCCGACCCCAACACGGCTCGCGCTTGCGAGACTTCGATGTCGGTCAGGGGTCTCTCGTCTCCTCTTGCCCTGGGCTGCATCTGAGCCAATCCTTGGCTGAACTCACTATGGTCCAAGCGAACACTGCAATCGTCATCCTGGGTAATCCGGATGCCGCAGTCAATGAAGCTATCGGCCTCCCATGGGCTCCACTCGTAGTGGTCGTGGAGTTCTTGGAGAAACCGGAGGTACTCGGGAGAGTCTTCATTTCCCGCGAACAGCAGGTCGTCGACAAAAATCCCGACGATGCCGACAAGGGTAACTCCGTCCTCAGCAAAGATGCGCCACAAGCAAGGATCACAGTGGCACTTTCGTCCTCCATGTCGCTTGATGGTCCCGGTCAAATCAACAAACCACTCACGAGGGGCGGACGTAAGGCCGTAGGCCGCAGGCCGACCCTAACAGCTCAACCATCTGCTTCTCCGAAAGTCCCATCCGCTCGGCTAACTCGGGGACTGGCCTGGCATGCAAAGGATGAACTCGGTCCGGAGTCTTTGCCTGCAAGAAGGCTGTACGAACATCTCCAGACAGGATTTTCCACCGGTAGGCGGTCGCGGCGTTCAAAAGAAGCATCTTGGACAAACGAGACAACGATGGCGAGGCAGTGTCCTGCTCCAACAACGAAGGATCGCTGTAACCGAGAATGACGATCCTCGCCTTGGCCTTTAGCTTCCCCGGGTGGTCCTCGCCGGCTGATTTGAACGTGTAGATCCACCGCATCCGTAGGGATTGTTCCGGAGTGATCGAGGGGCAGGCTGCCTTTACCACCTTCTTGGCAATCCAGGAGTCCAACTCGGCTGTCTTGGCCTGATTCATGGCAGCCTTTTGGGTGGCGTCTAATCGATTCCAAGCCACCTCCACCCCTTTTTGTACGCTACTTGAGGATCCGCTTCCAGGCCCGCTCGTCCTCAGGGATCTCGACGATCGTGGAGAAGATGCCACCATCGACCTCCGCCTCGCTCACATACTGAAGACTTCCTTGGTCCCGCACATGCCATGGGCGCTCATCATACTCATGAGCTTGCCGCCGTTGCCGGAAGCTGGGGTCGAACTCCTGTGGGAGGTACGTGACATCCTCAAGGAGCCGATCCAGGTCAAGGTCTCCCTGTCCACCCATACCACTCGCCTCTGCCGGTCCGGGAGCGGTGCGTTTTCGCATCTCGCGGTCCGGGATCATCTCAGCTTCAGAGTCCTCAGGGTCTGCTGGAGGTTCACGTACAGCCGCGCTTGCGCCTTCACGAGGGGCTTCATGGTGTGCCTCTCTCCTGCTGCGCCTCTTACTGGTAGGGGTCCTTGGCCAATGTTTCCGCCGAGGTCGTGTCTCGTCATCGTAGGTCCCCTTTGCCATGAGCTTGCTCAACGATGTCATTGTCCATGGCATACTGATCGCGGATGTTGCCTCCGCCACAAGTCTCTCTGCCTCGGGGGCGTGGCGAAGCTGAGATGCATGGAATCTTTTTAGCCGCCCTCCTGCAATGGCCCAAATGATCAAGGACGGTCGTCGGGACTGACCATCCACCTTAGTCTCACTGGCCAGGATCCGACCAGGTCCATACCATCTACCCGTCCGTAGGCGCGGTCGATCAACCACATTATTTGCTGGCAGATCAGCAGGGTGTGGTTGGCGACGAAAGTAGATGAGGTCTCCCGGCAGGAACTGCACACTTCCTCGAGTCTTCGCGTTCTTGGCTCTAGATGCGATGTCATGGGCCCGGTGATCAAGGAACGCCTTCTCAGCTGCCCTCCTGACTTCCATAGTAGCGCCAAAGCGGTTGGCATTGGCGGAGAAGGAATCATCTCGAGGAAGGTCAAGTAGTCGCAGTCCTGGGCTCCAATCTCGCCCCATGGTCCATTGAAGGGGAGAGAACCCGTGCACTCGGGCCAAGGAGTTATGGGTCATCACCATGGTCAGAGCAGCCACCTTGGGGTCCACGTTCTGCTCTCGAAGAAAAACTTCCACCTTATGTCGAACATGACCAATAGTCCTCTCCACCTCAGCGATGGCCTGGTGGTGCTCGGCAGGGGCGGCCACAATCTCAATGCCATGCGTGAGGCACTCTTCGGACAACACGGTACTACGGTGGGCTCCCTCCAAGTCCATCTTCAGCTGTTCCGGATATCCAAAGTAGGCAAACCATGCCTCTCGAAGGATCTCCACCATCTGACCGCCAGAGAGGTTTTGATGTTCCTCCTCGGAGTGTCGGAAGGCCTCACGAATCACTGCATAGCCGCTTGCCTCATCCACCATCAACACAAAGTGATGCACTTGATTCGACAGCCTCATAGTGAAGCCATCCACCTGCAGACATGACCACAGCTTGTCTGTCCTTTCCAGGTTAACAGCTGGTGCCGGAAGTTTGATCTTCCCTTCTTGGCACTCATCACATTTCAACAGACTCACCGCAGCAATCACCTTGGGATCAGCGTTCCGGGCCTGGAGGTTCTTGATCAACAGCCGGTTGGATGGGTGGCCGAACTTGCGGTGGAGCTGGTGGGCCACCTGCATAAGCTTGTCCAACTCCTGAGAGGTCAAGGTGTTCAGCGGGGTGATGTCGATGGCCATAACCGCTTCCTCCGCATCCTTGAAGGGTATCTCGACCTCACTGGCGGTAGAGATCGACTGACACATTCTTTTCCAGATGTACAAGGGTGCTTGGTTGGCCGGATCAATGGAGTTCAGAAGTTTGGACGATGTCGTCGCCAGCTTGCAGGGTCCAACATCCAATGCGCTTTTCCCATGGCCATATTGACTCCAAAATCGTCTCACCTCGCTCACTGACAGTGCTTGGCTCTCCGGAGGAATGATCCATGCCACCTGTCCTCCAGCTTGTAGTTGATCTCGAGAGAGAAGCAGTAGATGCCGAAGTACCTTCAAGTACCTCTTCGCCTTGGTCGTTGCCTTGAGGTCGTCAGAAGAGGGGAACAAGACCTCTGGTCCACGTGGAACATGGCACCAAAGCCAAAGTTGGAAGACCATGAGATTCCGAAGTCCAGGAGCTCGGCCGCCAAGGTGTCCGGTTCCATCCATGGTTGACAAACTTGGGCTAGCTGGACAACGGGGATCGCCGGGTAGACATTGAAGATCTCATCGAGGGCTGCATTCGCCTCCTTCAAGGGTGACATGATGGCCAGCTGGTCCTCCGCCGTAAGTCTCTCTTCCGTGCTGTGGTCCAGGTCCTCGGTCTCAACTGCCATCGATGGGGTTTCCAGCATCTGGATCTGGGCCTTGGTCGGGAGTACAAAGCCTGCTCGCCGTAGTTGTCGTCGCAGGTCGGGGTCGATAGCGGCCACAGACCTTGCTGCATAGGCATTCACCGACCCTCGATGACCCGTCCAATTCGAAGCTCCATGGTACCTCTTTGGCTCGAAGGCGAAGGGCTTCTTGTAGGTGTCCACCAAGTAGCCGGGAGCTCGTGTGCCATTGGGGAGCTCGCGCCATGACATAGGACCCAAAGGTTGTGGATCTCCTTCCACAGCTTCTAGCCACAACTGCCCATGCTGAAAGGATCCCACTGAACACGTCAAATTCATGGATTTCGTCAGGTTGTGGGAGTCCTTATGGAGCTTGCTCTTGCAGTTGACCAGGATGCTTACTGAGGTCCAGGAGTGAGTCCCCGACGGAAACCATTGCTCCACGCACTTGTTGATGAAGGAGCACAGAATCGGGTAATCGACGGTCGCCCGGGTCAGGCCGTACTGGTTGCCGTGGGCAAAGAGGCCGAAGGTCAAGACGAAGGATCCTCCTTCGGTCACATCCCAAGCCTGCCGTGCAGTGCCTGTCTGAGCGCCACACAACGACATGACCACCTTCTCCATGGCATGCACGGTACACTGACCTGACTGGAGGAACTCACGACACTGGCTCTCTATTTCCTGGTAGTTGCTGATCATCAACTCTATAACAGGCCCCCAGGTTGTTCAGGATCGGTTCTGATACTCCAGATGCTCTGTCCTCGTCAGGCAACTCTACAGGCCCCAGGTTGTTCAGGATCGGTTTTGATACTCCAGCTGCTCTGTCTTCGTCTCGCTGGCCCTCGATGCCTTCCGACTCGGGTGCGAAGGCAACTGTTCCTTGTCCACTGGCTGTGGAACCACAAGTGTTCCCGGGGACAACGGTGACTCTTCCGTCTCGGAGTCGTCGATGGCCACTGTTGCTGCCGAGGGAGGCTCCTGAGGTTCCTTGGCCTTGGTCGCGATCGCCTCCTTCGTGACGGAAGCCTTGGAGTCCCCTTGCCGTAGGCGCCGGGCTCGTTCCAGTTGCCGCAGAGCTGAGTTCTCCGCCGCCGTGAGGCTGATCTCCTTGTTGGTCGGGTAGTAATTGGCATCGGGGTCCGCATTCTTGATCATCTCCTTGGTGTCGGGAGCCAATGGGCCATGCTCAGCACCATTCGAGGGATGTACTGCAAGCGCACTTGGCACTTGGTACACACCGTCCACTGAGCAAACTGGTTGGCTCTCGTCTTTGGTGTGTGGTTGCCCTTGCACAATCCGCCAGCCGCGCGGGGATCCCGGAGATCCACACCTTCCTGACGATCGTAGTCCAGCGGGAGCATCTCCTGCTTGGGTTTTGTTTTCCCTTGCCCTTCGTCTTGGAGTCGTTGACCAAAGAAGTTGCCGCCTTCGCCGGAGTGGAGGCCATGAAGTGCAACGAGGGCAGTCAAGGTCGATAGGGATCTCATCGAATTGTCGTGGCTGGAGCCACAGTGCTGCCCATGTCCATGTAGTTCACTCTGACACGGCAGCTCGGCTTCCAAAGCAGGCTCTGCACTGGACTGCTCATGACTCTCTCCTGTCCCCTGATCGCCATCACTCAACATGTACGCAGACTCGACGAAATTTTCTTCAGGAGGCGGCATCGAGGTAATGTCTTTGCCCAGATCTGAGACTAGGCATCCTCCGGATAGCCAGTCGCCTCGAAGGTCAAGCAGCGCATGCCCACTGGGTGAACGTCTTAGGGGAATCGCTCGGTTCATGTCCACAGCAGTGAAGACAATTACGAACCTGGAGAGGTCCAACACAGCACCTAATCTTCTCATAGTACGGATGCCAACTAGCAAGGGAACACCGGAGACGTCAAGTGCGAAGATTCCTAGCTGAATGGCTTGTGCTCCAAGTTGTTGGGGTAAGAGGATGTATGAGGCGGAATAAGCGTACTCTCCATTCCCAAACTTGAATCGCTTCGGCGGTTGATCCACAACTCGAACTTCTTCAGCACACCCTAAATGCTGGCGCCGTGCTCTCATGAGTTGTTCAACTGCAGGAAGGGATCCTACTGTCTCCGTCGCCCCAGTGTCAAGCACAGCGAAGCCAGCCATCTCCTGAGTGGACAATTCCCCCTGGCTCATAAAGGCTGGTACATCCTCTACCGCTTCATCGGCCAGCTCGGCAGTCACGGTGAAGACCGAGGCCTCGGAGAAGTTCACGCTGCCAAACCGGCCACCCTTTTCTGGCCTTTACCCTGGCGTCGAGGGCACGACCTGAAGTCGTGATCTTTTGCTCCACAGATGAAGCAGCCCGTATAGCCCGGTTGGCCCACTGCAGCTCCCAGGAACCCTGAGTCATCGGCATTGGCCATCACAGGTGTAGAAGACGAAGAGGCCATGGAGGAGGGGCCCTTCCCCTTCGGGATTTTCCCCTTCCCCTTTCGTCCCTTTCCAATCGACTTGTTCTGAGGAGCAAAGGGATAAAAGCCACGGGACAGGTTCCTGGCCTTCACGGCTTGCCTGGCTTGCGCAAAGTTCCGTACCTTCGACTCCGCCAGGGCGAACGCCTCGTCGACCTCCTTGTGTGCTCCTCGGGGGTCAAGAGGTCCTCGTAGTCCTCCCAGTTCCACCACGACGTGTCTTCCCATCCAGCGGCGCTGGCTTCATTGTCCTGATTGCTCCACCAGACATTGTCGGACGAGGGGGATTCTTCGCCGGAGTACTGAGCCGCCGGATATACTTGAGGAGGAAGCCTGGTGCCAATGTAGATTGTCTCACCATTCTCCACTGACTCCTCAATCTCAGCGCTGTCCAAGATCAAAGACCACTCACCAGCCTCCTCGACCCAGTAGGTCCGTCTTCGGTAGTCGCCCTTCTGGTGGCCTCGGCCCATGGTTTCCTGACCAATAAGCTCGTCTTCCATTCCCCTCAGCGCCTTCTCAATGTCCTCGAGCTTCAGGCTGTTTCCAGCTGCTGACTGAACCGACAGCCTCGCCTGGTTCCCCAGATTGGCCCTTCTCAATAGGAGCCATCCCAACACTTCCGACGGCAACACTTCAGGGCTTCCCAGATGGAAAGGTCTTCAAGGGCCTTGGCAGAAGTATCGCTGTCGGAGGCAGACTCCCTGCGACCCTTCCGTCGTGGCCAAGATCGCGTGGGTGATTCCGCGGCGGCGGGGCCCACGGTCTCCGTCTCGTCCTCAGCGCTGCCACCTGCAGGTTGCTCCGCATGAGGTTCCTCTTCAGTTTGGTTGCTGGCCCTGCGCTGTGGCGAGCCACCGCCAGACGACGTTGGCCTCGAAGACGAACGCTGAGGAATGGAAAGTTCCTGAGTTCGGACTCTGTTCAATGCTACCTGTAGGTGGCGGTACTGCTGTCGTAGGTGGGCCGCCCAGGTCGCCATAGACTGGTGAGGTTGACGCTTCAGCCGGAGGATAAGCGATTCCAACCTCACCCCGATATCTGGCACGGGAAGCCGTCCAAGGGCCTCCTTCAAGTACTGGAGCAAGTAGACTACTTTATCGCGGCGGCATAGTTGTCGATGGTCGATATTGCCGGTAATCGACCAAGCGCGGTCAGTCAGCTGACTGACAATCTGGGGTCCAAGCAGATGACGGCGCTTTCGAGGCGTCTGCTCGAGAGCCAAACGCACACGGCGAGTGAAGTCGTTCCACCGCGCCGCTTCCCCATTCCAGGAGCACCGGACGTAAGCATCAGGCTTATGTTCTGCCGTTGACATACTTCACACGAACGACGTGGGGCAAGACCCGGGAGTCCTCGTTCGGCTTGAAGTCACCGAAGTCAAAGGCAGAGTGCGCAGTGGCTGAAGGACTTCCTCCAGCGTAGTCTGGCCCAGAGCTGATCGAGCTCCGCTACCAGTATCAGTGACTGGGTAGCTTCACAGCTCGCAACAGCACTTCACTGCAAGGCGGAGGGACTCCGAAGTTCGCAGATCTTTTTCGCAGGGCAATCCTTCACGGATCCTGTCGTAGCTGAAAAGCTTCGCTGCTCCTCCTGAGGCGCCGTATGGCAAAGCTAAGTCGTCGCGACTTCTAAGTTCAGTAGCCTGAAAAGAAGGCCAAAGGTGCACCTCGAGAGGAATATGCAGCAGAAACATGTAGGTCCTTGCTCGCGCACTACTGGCATGAGCATGAACAGAAGGCAAAAAAATCAAAAATGCCTCATGAACTGACAAAACCTCTTCCGGTTATTTTCACTTAAGTGAAGTGTACCGGAGAGACTCCGGTCACGTTCACCTGTGTGAAACACACCGGGTATTCCGGTTGCCTCCACCTGTGGAGAGAGAGAGTACCGAGCGGGTACCTCCACAAGTGTGAAACTTCCCGTTTCCCGGGACCTCCGCTACCACGTTGAGATGTAACCTGGACGTGTATCCCTTCGCTAGGCGTACCGGAACACAGGCACTCAGATGTCTGTTTTGCTACAGGCGCACAGCTGTAGTCCACTGCACTAGAACCTTGAGCAACAGGCATGGATACATGCAAGTGATACGTGAAACAGACAGGCACCTGGATGTGTAACATTCAGTGTTTCACCCCTCCCCCGTCCACAATGCCAAGGCCGCCGGCCACAAGCCAAAGGCATGAGAGCAGCTCGCGAGACAGCCTGGCAGAGGCCCAGCGCTCAGGGGCGGAATCGCCGGTCTCTGAGACTCTGAGTTCAAGGGCATCCTTTCAAGAATCTTTCGGCGGCCTCAATAGGCAGGGCAGGGAGAAAAGCTGCCCCAAATGCATCCGAGTGCGCGAGGTAACCGAGAGCCGCTCGTCGGCCGAACCCCACGCGCAGCGGAGAGAAGTCGCCGAGCCTCCGCCCAGAACAGCACGGGCTTGCCCGGGCATGAAAAGCAGCTTCCATGCCAAGAGCATCGGAATCGGATCCCTCGGCCTTCACGTCATTGAACCGGATTCAGACCCACGCTGAGTCTGACAGGAAATGGCGGCGGGACCCGTTGAGGAAAAAGCGATCGGGCACTGCTGCTTATCTCAGTCGCTCAAGGACTCATCTGTGTCCCTGCAACAGGGACTCCATGCAACCGCCGCTCTCTGATCAACTCGTCAGCTTAGCGCTTTTTTCAAGCAACTCGCCTACGACTGCCCACTTCGTTAACTGGGACATCAGAGGCCATCCCACGAAACAGAGGGGGACCCCTCACCCGGAGCTCTTCAGACGATCGGAGAGGTCGCTGTGAGAGCTTCTGCCGGTTCTCCCATAAAGGGCGCGGCCGCGGTCGCGGCATCCGCATCCTCGGCCGCGGGCGCCGGATCCGCCGCCTCCGGCACTTTCGCCCGCGGCGGAGCTTCCGCCGGCTCCGGCGCTGGCGCTGCCTGCACGTGCACGCAGCTTGCGGATCCAATTCGTCTTCGCTGTATAGAAGGAGTGCGAAGGCCGACGACGCCCGAGTAGCGCAGTAGTGAAAGCAGTCTGAGACTGAGGCTTCTCCGGCCTTGTCCGCAGCCTCTGGCTGCCCGAGGCTCCCCTGGGAGGCGGCCTGATGCCCCAAACTGCAACAGCTAACAGCTGGGGTTTAGCATGGCGGGAGGGCTTGAAAGCACATGAAAAACACCTTACACACGGACTATTGCTACTCTTACTCTACAGTTGCATTAGTATCTGTGCATGAGTGGGATCCACCGAGGGCCAAGGATCGGGCCACGGGCAAGGCCTGGGCCACGTCGGCGCTGAAGTTCCGTCGCGGAACCTGAGAGGAGGAGATGAGATGATGAGGGTCTGACATGGTCGATGAGAGCGTCTCTTCATTTTGTCGGTGCTCTTGGGAGGATTTGGGAGGGTGGGGAGCCTGGGACACCATCTGCACCACGTTCTCCCATGGCTCCTCCATGACCTCGAAGCAAAAGCACTGCGACCCTCCGGCCCAGAGGCGCATGATGCGCATGCGAGTCATGCGAGCACGAGGCCGCGTTGAAGAGCGCAGCGATAAGCCTTCGAAGAGCAGTTCAACTCGTTAAGACGGGCGGCCCGGAGGCGTCCCTGTCCCTTTGAAAGTGAGGCCCAGGCTCCCGCAGCGGTTCGGGTCGGGGAAAGCCCAACCTCATGCGACGGAAAGCTTTCAGGGGGCCCAGACCTCCGTGGGGCTTCGTGGGATCTTGAACCTCTTCAAGCCAGCACAATAGAGCAAGAGCAACCCTAGCAGAAACTGCCCCTCACTTTGACGAGCATGGCCATACCAGGACCAACAACAAAAAAGCGCAGCAGTCAGCAGTCCGCAAGAGAGGCTGGGTCCCCGAGCGTCTCCAGGCTGGTGCCCTGCTCCTTACGAGGAGGGGCTCGAGGAGACCCCGAAAGGAGCCCTCAATCCGCGTAAGAAAACCCTTCAGTGAGCAGAAGCAGACGAGGTCCGAAGAGGAGGACTGAGGAGCGAAGGGCACGCTTGTCTCTAATGTCTCTATCTGCCTGTCTATCTGGCTATCTGTGTATCTAGAAATAAATAAAGAGAGAACGAGAGAGCCAGAGAGACAGAGAGAGAGAGAGAGAGATATATATATATATATATATAGCATATATATATATATATATATATATATATATACAACACAATATGTGTGTGTGTGTATATATATATATATATATATATATATGTATATATATATATATATATATATATATATATATACACACACACATATTTATATGGTGCCGCGCTGCTAGGCCCCCCCACCCCATGGTATCCCCCCCTCCCCCCTGCCCCCCGTGGTTCCCTGTGGTGTGGGTTCCCCCTGCGCCTCACCCCTGGTTGCGGTAGGCTTATTCCACGGTATTGCTGGTTGGGCGTCCGGTTGCTAAGGTTTGGACCTTAGGATGTCTACTTCCTGGTTCTGCTTGACAAGGCCCTGGGCTCTGTAGCTTCGGAGGCCGCACCTCCTAGTGCAAGGACAGTGCCCGGTAGAAATAACTAGGGTGTGCCACCAGCAACGTGACACAGCTCGGAAAGGAAGCGTGCCGGAAGCAGTCTCTTGCTGCTCACTTTTGTTTAGGACAGGAGGATTGTAGGAACATGCTGAACATGCAGCATATGCATATGCTACCGCCCCCTCCTCCAGAAGCCCCTCGAGGCGGCCCCAGGTGTCCACCAGGCGCATCTCCACCGGCTTCCACAAGATCGGCCTCGTCTCGCAAGGATGCTCAGTGAGGGGTCCTGGATAGGGCTTCTTTCTGCTTTTCCGCGGGGGCCCCGGCGAGGTGCTGGCGCTCCTCCGGGGACAAGGCTCAGATGAGCTCGTGTGCACCAGGCCAAACTCAGAGCCATTTTGTGCAAGCCTGGACACTTCTGGTGCATCCTGGTGGCCTGTGTGGCCTGTGTGGCCTGTGGCTGGGAAGAAACCCTTCCCTCGATGGGCGAGCGCCGATCCAGGCCTTCCGGTGCAGCTGAAAGGTAGAGCCTGATGTGCCTGGCCAGGCATCCGCCGAGAATGTGTGCCCTTCACAGGACTCTCCGTGGAAACTCCTGTGGTAGTATCCCTCTGGGAGCTGGGCGCCGCTGTGAAAGGCACTTTGGCTTTCACGTTGGCCATGAAGGCACCTGCACTTTCTGCACCCGACGGCGCTTCACACGTGATTGCGCGAGCATGGAACCGATGACGTCTCGAAGCTCGTCTGGCTGCATGAAGCCTTGGTCCTCATCATACCAGCCACTTTGACAGCGCCAAATTTCTCTGGTCATGCTTCGTCCTTGAGTGCTGACCGGTCCACCTGATGGGCTTGGCTTCAATCGGTGACTTGCCCTTCTTGCCGGCTCTCTCTCTTCCAGCTGAGACACGCCCGGGCTGGCCAAGAACTGGCCAATCTTCGTGTTCACGGCCTGACTCCGTCGAGGAGCGGACCGGAGTTGAACGTCAGGCCAACTTGAGAAACGGACTGCCAAGGGCTGTGTGATGTGAGCCTGTGACAACTGTGACAAGAAACGATCCCAATTTGTGCCCATCAATTGACGGCTCACAGCCAGGCAAGATTCCGGGGCTCTGGCGGTGACATTCGTGATCAGAGCTTCACATGCCGCCTGCCGACTGCCGCATTACGGGCACAGCCTCTGCAAGTTAGAGAGGCTGCCTTCAGCTCGGACTCGATGTCCTTCTTGCTGTCGACCTGAAAAGATTACTCCTCAAAGCCCTACATGTTTGTGGATCCACATTACGATTCGCCATCAATTTGTGTTACACTACGTGAGACCTACAGACTAAGACTAAAACGTACTTACTTCCTTTCCTTACTTACTTGCTTACTTACTTACCGACTGACGGACTACTGGGTCTTAAACCTACCCAGTACTCACTTGCATGCATACATGCGTGCTATGCATACCATACAGTACACTATGTGGCACTCATGAATATCTAGATACACTGCCTATTATACAGATACTTACCTGCATACAATAATCTACCTACATACATGCATGCATGAGTACATGCGTGCATACGTACAGGCTCACCTACTTGGATGAAGGGATGCATATATATACACACACACACACACACTTACTTATGCAATCCTCCCTCTGATTGACTCTTTCTCTGTATATCTTCCTACTTCCGGAGGTGAAGACATGGTAAGTTGGGGTTCTAGGCTTGGCCCCATGCCATGTCAATGCAGAAAACACTTACACAACACTTGCAAAAGCTCTGGCAGACACTTGCAGGTACGTGAGGAAGGCGTCCCTTCTTCATGCCACAGGACCAAACCACATCCATCCATCTCCATCAGTTCAAACACCCATACAGTACCTAAAGTCTACACTCAGACACATACACATGCGTACGCCCATCCATCCATGCAGGCAGACAGAGAGACAAACTGACAGACAGACCGCAGCACGATACGTGAGATTGCATTGCAAAAACACACATACAGGCAGACAGACATCCCGAGATCCATCCATCCATCCGTCCATCCATCCATTTGGATACATGCACGTGTATTATAGGTCGCATCGCACTACGCGACAACACAGCACCAGAACGTAAGCGTCATGTTCCTTTAAAATTCCTCCTATTCAATCTAAGCCTAAGTGTAACTGAAACTGAGGGGGGCCCGATTTCAGCGGCTGTGTGCCGTTTCGGCTCATTCGGCTCGCGCCTCGGCGTGGTAGACCGTGGGCTTCAAGATGCCCAGGATCCCGTCGGGGAGCTTCAGGTTCAAAGCCTCCAAAGTGCGTTGAGCAGCGAATTGCGCAGCGAACTTCGGGGTCAGGGGGGGCCTCCCAGACATTTGCGAAGTTGAAGTACTTCTCGCTCACCACCTGCAGAAGTGCCCTGCCCTGCTGGGCCCTGCTTAGCACTACGCGAAAGGAGCCGTCCGGGCCCCACGCCAGCTCGCACTCAAAGGCCGCCACTTGCTCTCGAAGGAGCCTGCGAAAAGGACAAAGTCTCTTCCACTTCCCTGGCGGGTCTGGGCCCCAGGCAGGAGGTGCTTCACGAGGAAGAGCTGAGAGTCCATCATCTGAACCAAGGGCTGGAAGACCTGCGAGCAGCAGCGAGCAGCAGCGAGCAGCAGCAGAAATTCTTCTTTCGTGCCCACCGCCTGCAGACTCGCATCACAGCTGGGCAGCGATCTTCTGGACAAGTACTCCGAAGCCTCTGCAAAGGCATGCGCGGAAAATCCCACTGCAGTGTTTGGACCTTGCTTCCGAGCGGCCTCCTTGAGGCTGCGCATGCAAAGGTCCACAGCCTCTTGAGCCAGCCTGAACCAAGTACCCCAAAGAAAAGAGAGTTGCGAGCGAGCAGCGAGCAGTGGGCCCCTGGAACGTGGACATCTCCAGGACTCGGTAGATCTTGGCCTCAGAGAAGATTTTTCCCTTACCGAACCTGACGAACGGAGACAGTGAGGGAGAGGGATACATAGATCAAAGACATTCGAGAGAGAGAGAGAGGGAGATGTTGAGATACAGGTCCTGGTCTGACTCTCCCGAGGCAATGGCCAGAATAGAGAGTGTTCGCGGGAGCGTGGGATACCAGCCTCAGCACAAGGTGAATCCCAAAGGGGTGCAGATCGCATGTTTCTTTCCCTTATGGCTCACCACCTCTTTGGAACTGACCCATCGCAGTCTCCTGCGCAACATGTCACTAGGGTAGAGCTGGCTTGGAACCGTGCTGAGCCTGATGGGGTGTGTCCGTGCCGCTTCCGTACAAGATAGACCTTGGCGCCACCATGTCAACCGAAGTTTCACCACGGGATAAGCAGAGATCTCGTGACATTATGTGAAACATGTATCTGAGTGAACCGTTGCCAGGCTTCTCGGCAACTTCTCGGCGCTGCCGCAAACCATGAATTCCTAAACTTGGTCCTCCAACTGAACTGAAGACCTCAAGAAGAAGTTAGACTCGCAGGGCAGCAGCTGCTAAATGACGTCAACTTCAGCAGCACCCTGTAGAAGCAACAAGTCTCATCCAGACGTTGGGGTCGGGGCGGATAGTCTAGGTCGGAGCTGCCAAGCACGTACCTTTTCCACGACCGGCATCACTGCGACGACAATCGCCGGACACCATGCAATAACCAAGATGCCAAGAGGCCTGAACGTGACATGACGGAGTCTGAGACTGCAGCTAGCCGACTGAACGGAATCATGTAGTGACCACATGACACAGGCTCGGTGGACGACGACAGCTGTTGGTTCCAGAGGTTTTGCTGGGCACCCCTTGATCTCTTCACGGATGTACATCTCCACCTGCCAATGTCTTCTGTGGCGAAAGCGTGTGTGGAACTGCTGGGGACCCTGCGCGATAGATGAGCTTCTCCTGCACATCCTGCTAAAGCAGACTTGCTGCATACAGGACGAAGTACAAGCTTTGCCCGCTTTGCCAGTCCTTGTGCAGCCGGTACACAACACCGAGCACACACACGTCCGCAAGCCTGGCATCGTTTGAGATCTCTGGCTCCAAACTTGCTCCATTGGCACCAGGTCAAAAATTATCACGATTTTGCCTGTGCACGACTGTGCTGCAGGTGCACCAGCAGGTGCGATTGTTTCGCCGACGGTCTTTCCTAAGGCCTGCTCCGACTCAGGGTCTAGACGGTTTAGAGGATTGTGTGTGGCATCTACGGTAGGTCCCATCGTCTCTGAAGTCTCTCCCCGCCCGTTTGGGCGACCCCAGTCCTGTGTCTATTCCTGCGGAGCTGTGTAGAGAACTTCTGGCCGAGGGGCGCGTGCGTGGCATCGTGTGTCCGTGTGTGTCCGTGTGTGTCCGTGTGTGTGGCATACGCTCTCAGCGCCATCCAGCAGCCGGCCCCGCCGCCAGCCGTCTCTCCCCATTTGAAAGGCCCCGGCAGACGATGCGGCTCCAAGACGTCCATCTGCCTCTCGGGTTCGCTGCGATCCGGCGGCAGAGTAGTCCCAGAAGAGAAGAAAGAGAAGAGAGGAGAAGATAGTGGGCTGCGATGAGCTGTTTCGAGTGCTCTCTGTGCAGTGCGAGATGCAAACAGTCTGCAATCTCTCGCAAGGAGTCGATGGAATCGCAAGCCAACACCTCTCTTGGCCGGAGTTCAGAACGTTGAACGCTGAAAGAAGCTTCAAGCTGAGATGGGCTGGGATCCGGTCCAGAGGACGCATTGTCCTCATGCGGAAAGCATCGCCGCTCTTGCCGCTCTTTTCGCTGGGTGCCGCCCAGGGGCTGGTAGAAGGCATCCGCAAGCTTAAGAAGCAGCGTCCTCAATGCCTCCAAGAGCTCAGAGGACCCCAGCCATCAAATGGGAGACCGGTACACCTCCTGCTGATGTCTCAGCTCGAAATATGCCTGCCGAGTCGGAGCTCACGGAAGCTGAAAAAAGCATTCTCCAAAAGCTCAAAAATCCTCCAAAACTAAGCGCTCACTAAGCTCTTGCAGGCGCCTCAAAGCACTGCTTTTCGAGCTGTGCGATCTCGAGGATGTAAGTGCTGGCCTGGCTGCTGTCGCGTTGAAAGTGTAGGTTCTGCGTCCTCGAGGTGTCATGTTGTCATCTGAAAGCCCCGATTCCTCACTTCGACCTCCTGAACAGTCACACGGAACTGTGAAACAGCGAAAAAATGGGTGGCCTGCCGCGTGGCAGGAGCGAGCCTAGGCCGTGCTTTGGGACTCAAATGCTGTTCTGACAACTATGAAGCTCAGTTCGGCTTAAAGCTTAGAATCGCTGTGGGAGTGATTCAATGTGCTGCATGGCGAGCATCGTCAGCATCAGCTGGAAGCTCTCTGTCCAATGTCCCGGCGGTTGAATCTGGCAGTTGGACCCAGCGTTTGGAATTGATTTAGTGCGCTGCCTCGCATTAGCATCATCAGCGTCATCATCATCATCGGCAGCTGGATTTGCTTTCATTCAAGCTCTCTCTCTGTCCTGTTGGGGATTGAGTTAATCAGCCGCAGCACGAGCATCATCGGCATCAGCTGGATTTCCTCTCAAGCTCTCAGTCCGAATTTCCCGGCCGTTGAAACACGGCAACCATAGCTGTTCGACCCAGTGAATGCACAAACTTAATGAGCCGCATCGCTAGCATCATCAGCATCAGCTGGATTTGCTTTCAAGCTCTCTGTCTGCTATCCCGGCCGTTGAACCTGCAGCAGCCGTAGCAGTTCGACCCAATGATTGGACAGATTTAGTGAGCCGCATCGCGAGCATCATCAACATCAGCTGGATTTGCTTTCAAGCTCTCTGTCTGCTAGCCCGGCCGTTGAACCCGCAGCAGCCGTAGCAGTTTGACCCAGTGATTGGACAGATTTAGTGAGCCGCATCGCGAGCATCATCAGCATCAGCTGGATTTGCTTTCAAGCTCTCTGTCTGCTATCCCGGCCGTTGAACCCGCAGCAGCCGTAGCAGTTTGACCCAATGATTGGACAGATTTAGTGAGCCGAATCGCGAGCATCATCAGCATCAGCTGGAATTGCTTTCCAGCTCTCTGTCTGCTATCCCGGCCGTTGAACCCTCAGCAGCCGTAGCAGTTTGACCCAATGATTGGACAGATTTAGTGAGCCGAATGGCGAGCATCATCAGCATCAGCTGGATTTGCTTTCAAGCTCTCTGTCTGCTATCCCGGCCGTTGAACCCTCAGCAGCCGTAGCAGTTTGACCCAATGATTGGACAGATTTAGTGAGCCGAATCGCGAGCATCATCAGCATCAGCTGGATTTGCTTTCAAGCTCTCTGTCTGCTATCCCGGCCGCTGAACCCTCAGCAGCCGTAGCAGTTTGACCCAATGATTGGACAGCTTTAGGGAGCAGAATCGCGAGCATCATCAGCATCAGCTGGATTTGCTTTCAAGCTCTCTGTCTGCTATCCCGGCCGTTGAACTCGCAGCAGCCGTAGCAGTTTGACCCAGTGATTGGACAGATGTAGTGAGCCGAATCGCGAGCATCATCAGCATCAGCTGGATTTGCTTTCAAGCTCTCTGTCTGCTATCCCGGCCGTTGAACCCTCAGCAGCCGTAGCAGTTTGACCCAATGATTGGACAGATTTAATGAGCCGAATCGCGAGCATCATCAGCATCAGCTGGAATTGCTTTCCAGCTCTCTGTCTGCTATCCCGGCCGTTGAACCCTCAGCAGCCGTAGCAGTTTGACCCAGTGATTGGACAGATTTAGTGAGCCGAATCGCGAGCATCATCAGCATCAGCTGGATTTGCTTTCAAGCTCTCTGTCTGCTATCCCGGCCGTTGAACCCGCAGCAGCCGTAGCAGTTTGACCCAATGATTGGACAGATTTAGTGAGCCGAATCGCGAGCATCATCAGCATCAGCCGGATTTGCTTTCAAGCTCTCTGTCTGCTAACCCGCAGCAGCCGTAGCAGTTTGACCCAGTGATTGTGATTGATTTAAGCAACCGCACTCCAAGCATCATCAGAATCAGCTGGAAGCTCTCTGTCCAATGTCTGGCCGCTGAACCCGCAGCAGCCGTAGCAGTTGGACCCAATTCTTGGAACTGATTTAGTGAGCTGGCCCGCGTTAGCCTCATCAGCACCAGCTGGGCAGCCGTGGCAGTTCGACCCAGTGATTGTGATTGATCATCATCAGCATCAGCTGGATTTCCTTTCAAGCTCTTTGTCCGATTTCCCGGCTGTTGAAACCATGGCAGCCATAGCAGTTCGACCCGATTCGACCCGGTGATTGGACAGATCGCGAGCACCATCAGCATCAGCTGGACTTGCTTTCATGCTCACTGTCCGATTTCCAGGCCGTTCAACCTGCAGCAGCCGTAGCAGTTCAACTCAGTGATTGTGAATGATTAAGTAAACGCATCCCAAGCATCAGCTGGACTTGCTCTCAAGCTCTTTGTCCGACTTCGCAGTGATTGGGTGAACCGCAGTGCAGAATTTGCTTGCACCCTCTTTGTCCGATTTGCGGCGATTTGAACGAACACACGGCAGCCGTACGACCCAGTGATTGGCATTGTTTCAATGAGCCGCAGTTGCCGTATCATGTGGGTGTTGATGAGCTTCCTGTAGATCGCCAAGAATTCTGTGACCGAAAATCTCACGATCTCAGCCCCGTGCTGGCTGAGCGCCAATTCGCCATGCACAATGGACCTAGGCAAGCAAGGCTTCACTCCATGGATGGAGAGCACCCATGTTGGAGCAACTTCGGAGTACAACCCCCGTAGACATGCTGAATCCGCAGGTGTTGCGAAGAACGTGCTCTTGCTGCATCGCACTGGTGTAATTTCCAAAATCGTTCGCGCGTTGACAAACTACATAATCGGGAAGTCGGTAGGCGCGCTGTAAATTTCGAAGTGAATTTAGAGAGCAAAGGCCCTTAAAGCTTCCGTCGATTTTGAAACCTAATCTACAATGGAATCTACAACCCGCCAAGGTCCATAAGACAGCTCCAGTTCCATGAAGGCAGCTCAGCATGCTCAACATTCTTGTCTTTTAGTAGCCTCCGAGGCCTCAGCCGCATTCGAAGCCAGTCAAATCTCCGGCACATGCTAACTGCTAAAGTCACATTTGTACCACATTTGCTGGCGGTGTGATTGGCTGGCGTGTTTGACCTCTTCTCTTTGTCCCCACTCTTGCGACTTCAGCGCGTCGAACATCACTCGCGGCCAAGCCACAGCTCGGGTTTTTTGAAACCGAAGAAATTGGGCTCTGCATCTCCCAATTCATTGCGTTCTTGCGGGAGCAAGTGTTGCTCACCACAGGAGATCACGTCAAAGCTTGCTGTGTGCTCCACCAACATTCCTCAGGCTGCCCTGCGTAGCTGACTGCTTTTCTACTGCTTCAAGCTTCTGTTATCATGGCCTCGTGGACGACGCGCGTTTGAACCTCCCCTTGAGCCTTCAGAGGCTGCTCCAAATCGCAAATCTAGGGAAGCTGCTGCAGCTGGCTGGAAACCTCGGCCATTTCCACAATTCGCAAGGATTTATGTTACGGTCATCGTCTTTCTCGCACCTTCAGCTACTTCCGAGCTCGTGGCCGGTAAGGTCAGTAGCCGGAGCCGGAGATGTACAAAGAAACCCTCAATCTCCTCGAGCGTCGCCTGTGCTACGAAGGAGAAGGGTCGGAGAATCTCGGGTTCAGGAACTCCTCGCTTGATACTCGGCCCCTTGCGGCATATGTTTCATTCACCTCAACGCGCTTGTTCAGCAAAGACAGCAAGGGCCTTTGCCATCAACGTCTGAACTTCCAAGAAATATGGGGGCTTGCATATTGCGTCGTAATCAGACATTCGACGTGGCCTGTAGTTGGGGGCTGATGCCCGAAACTTGCTGTAGAACACCTGCGCGCTGAAGTCACAGTTTTTCGAGAAGAACAGCTTAGTGCCGAGGTCGGCAGAGTCGAAACGGCAGTGAAATCAGAAGAGAACCCACAGAGCTTTTTCCTTCCTCGAAACGGCACAGCTCCAGATCCAGGGCTTCAGGCCACCAGTGCCGAGGCGGTCGCAGAGACGTATCTCGAAGGGCCGTTCAAAGCACTCGGGGAAGCCGTCAACTGAGACTAAGGAGGAAGATCAGAGACCAGCAAGCGCATGAACCCACAAGTGCTTTTGATGTTGGGGCCATCAGCGCAAGTAATCATGTCCGTTCGCATTTCAGAGCTTTTTTCTCAAGCCATGCACACACACACACACCCAAACACACTCCAAGCGTTGTCTAGGTCCCAGGCTTCCAAGTGGCAGGGAGGGACTTCACACCTCAGTCGCATGCATACCTGCACACAGAGACGTCTGTAGCGAACCATGAGAACACACACACACACATTATTCGCACGACTATGCCACACTAAAGGATATTGTACTCTCTACTGACGACGGTACTCTACCAGTACTATACTATACTCTGCTCTGCTTGCGACTTCTTCCGAGCTGAAGAGATATACGAGTGCATTTTGTAGTGGCATCTACGTTTAGCAGCCTTCACTGGTCCAAAGACTCTGATGCACCGAGCCGTGACGAGGCTCAGGTGCGGACGCTTGTAGTACCTGCACACCGGCCCAGCGACGCAAACAGAAAGATAAAGAAACACACCGCACAGAAACGGACCTGGCAAGTCGGTGGATTCTGCTCTCGACCAAGATAAGGCGGAACTTGGCATCCTTGTCCTTGCGGTTCTTGTCAAGGTGCTTTCGAATGGACACGGCCTCCCAGGGAAGGAAAATTCTGCACTTACCATGCTGGCATATGGCCGCCGGAACTAGCCTTCTTGATGAGGTAGTAGAGATCCTGCCAACAGAAAGGGCTTGGCTTCTTCGGCTGCTCGGGTCTTCTCTTGCCTCCGGCAGGGTGGGAGCCAGGCCGTTGGTCTTCAGGATTCGGAGGATATGGTTTCCGGTCACGTTCTTCACCTGCCGTAAAGACTCCTGGTAAAATGATCTTTGGAGATAGAAGGAGCCAGGGCCTGAGGCACTCCGAAGCTGTCTCGAAGAGTCACCTCACTGCACGATTGAGCATGGAGCTACACAGCTACACTACCCTCACAAAACGTGGTCACGAAGCTAGGACTCCAGCACCAATCTGGGATGGTGTGAGGCCCTTCTTGGCAAGCTTGCAAATGTGATCGCACACGTCCTGCGAGTACCAAACAGCGCAAAGAACACCTTCGGATCACGCGCCCACCGACGGAGGCCTCCGGCTTCATCTTCAGCCATGTGGGGGGCGTCCTGCAAGGGCAGCATCACCAGTTATCTCGCGAAAACGCTCCAAACACGGCCTCTTCCAAACCTTCCTACACGGCGCAAGTTGCTGATGAGGGACCAGCAAAGCTTTACAGGAACAGTCATGAACGGATGTATTCCTCCTCCTCCCGATACACTGACGCTCGGTCAGATTGGCCTCTTCTCGTCAACACTCTCCAAAAGGGTTGATGCCCTTCGTGGCTTCTGGAAGGAAGTATTTCGCCTGTTTTGAACACCGCGTGCAGCCTCCGAATAGCACAAAATCCGGATAAGTTCCGCATATCCCTCTGCCAAAGTGCAAGAACTTCAACCACAAGCTCAGTTCCTAGATGTGTAACTTTCCCACTTCCACTTCCGACCGTCCTCTTGTAAGGGATCGCTGAGCTGGCGATGCCCTGAGTTCAACGCGGCTACCGCGTATGGCGATGCGGACTTGGTGACGCTGGAAAGACTCCAGATTTCGACGTTTCGGCTTTTGTTTGTCTTCGGGCTTGATTCTGAACTTGCGGTCAGGTTCACACTGTCCACACAGGGCTGTGGTCAGAATATTGGGGGCTTTGCGTTGGGGCTTCTACAGAATCGTTGCCGCACATCACCTGAAACTTTTGCACTGACCGTGCACGTGCCTTGCCCTTGCCATACATGCGACCCATCCTCCTCAGACGATGAGCTGACTCAGCTGAGGTGGCAAGACGCGTGGCAAATCCAAATGTAAGTGGGGCGCAAGGTACGCGTAGTATACGCCTTTTGCGCCAACTAGGAATAGGCTTCCGAACCAAATGGCTCAAGTCGAAATCTGCGCAAAAGGGAGCCAGGCTGCATTGCAGAGTGCCGCAGACACGGCAGCGGAAGCAGGTTAGCCGGCGCCTGGTTGGGCACTACAGCCGCGTCCTGCCCCCCGTCCTTCAGCTGCTGCTCCACCTTTCGCATGGCATATGGGCATGTCTTCAGACCGGCCACGCGTCTTACCATCGCTCTCTTTGGAGCGGACGTGCGCGGCGGATCTCTCCAAGCTTCTCTGCAGGTTGGAGCCTTGAGAAAAGAGAGCAGCGAGCAGCAGAGCAAGAGGAAAGGAGGGGACGACGAAGTCCTTGCTCGGCTGCGGGCGCATGGCGAGGCATGCCCTGTTGCGAAGATGCTCGAACCTGCCACCGCACCAGCCGCATCACGTCATCGGAGCGTCACTGGCGCTCCGAGGGCGCTGCTGGGACATGTAGGCCTGCGCCTGGCCTGGGAATCGAGAACCGAAGTCCCCTGCCGATCTCCCACCATCCCCTGAGCTTTCCGCAGAAGTCGGGGTGGGCCTGACCACGCAGCATGCAAGGCAGTGGACGACTCGACGACCAAGGTCGCAGATCATCAGAATCCAAAGCGCGCTTTGCTTCGAGACTCTCGCGGCCTCTAGGAAAGAAATGGACCCGTCGATTTTGTCGAGAACCTGCTTCTTATTCCGTTGGCAAGGAACCCTCTGTCCATGACGACACCGGTACGCAGACCCACCAGATCCTAGTTCCTGCTGGTTGCTTCTCACTACTTGGTCATGATGACTGTGCTACTTGCAGTTACCATAGGACTTCGCACCGCTACCAACACTAACCGCCATAACGGTAATGATCGTTGTAATGATGCCACCGACACAATTATTCAACACAGCTGCCGGTAACTGCGAGCAAGTGCCGTGGGAACGGGTGTCTGCTTTTCATACTACAACTGGGGCTATGTCATCATGCTTTCTGTCTCACTACCCCACGTCCCACGGTCTACTTAGTCTAGTTAGTCAAAAGAACAAGCAACACGCTTTGCATGGCAAATCGCGAGCTCGATTTTTCTAGGGTCGCCGACAGGTAGGCCCTTCACAGTAGGATCCTCATTTTGAACCCTGCATGGGACCCCCTAATAAAGTAGAGCTCCCGGCGGATCCGAATTCTGTGTCGGGACTTTCCGACCTGCGCTGTGCGGCATTGGGTTTGGTTTTGTAAGTTCGCAGAGCCCTTGCCCCGTGTCAATCTATCATTCCATCATTCCTGTACTCCCCCCTACATCTCACCAACTATATCACCACTACATCCCCATGGCCCACACCATTATATGAATAACCAATTACCCAATCCATGTTCCCTAAAATGGTATTATCATCCCGATATGTGCAAGGGTTCCCTTATAGAATTTACTGGGTTTAGGTTCTAAGGTTGTAGTCATAATACTATATATTCCATAAACTTTTACGCCAAATGCTTACAATATACTCATGTTTCTAACTCACTTTTCCTTTTCTTGTTGAAGCTTATGTTTTCGCTTATCAGGACTGCTGTGGGCAAACGGCCTCTGTGGTGCGTACTACGACGACGACGACGACTGCTACTGCTACTGCTACTGCTGCTGCTGCTGCTGCTACTGCTACTGCTACTGCTACTGCTACTGCTACTGCTACTGCTACTGCTACTGCTACTGCTACTGCTACGGCTACTGCTACTGCTACTGCTACTGCTACTGCTGCTGCTGCTGCTGCTACTACTACTACTACTACTACTACTACTACTACTGCTACTTCGACTACACAATCCGTGCAGAACTAAGGCTCTTTCACGATTGGAACAGCACAAACGGGTTCAAGAAAACTCAATGTTTGGTGTTGTTTTGCTACCCCCGGCCGGCAAAGGGATTTTTGTCAGACGTTGCGCGTCGCACGCTTTTTGTAGCGAAAAATCGCCATACACGTACTTTCCTTCTCCCGCAGCTATGCGACACCTAGGTTTTCGCTCTGGGAGCAGAAATCGGAATATCCACAAAAAGCACGTGCACCCCTCAGACACGAACTTGATGTCCAAATCTACCACACCGCTACAAGACCTGTGAAACTTGTAGATATGTGATGTTCTTCCCCTCTCCTCTCGCGGCTCGGCTTGGCTTGGCTTTGGTTTGGAAGCGAGTCCGGTTCATCATACATCTCAAGCGCGCCCCCTCATAAGCGTTGCCGATTCATCATACATCTTAAATGCGCCCCGTCTTTTGGCGATTCCGGTTCATCATATATCTTCAACAACAACGCCCCCAAACCCGCTATCGCTACCGGCTACATCTGGACTTACTTCAGACAACCCGAGAAATCTTGGACAAGCACGCAATCAAGCATGCATCCACCCTTCGGGCATCCTGGAATAAGAAACCAAAACCTAATAACATCTACGAGAGAACCTTTGCCCATTTTGGGATGACAATACCACCTTAGGGAATGTGGATGGGGTAGTTGGTAATTCCTGTACTGGTCTTGGCAATGCAGAAGTAGTGGTGATATAGTTGGTGAGATGTAGGGGGGAGTATTGGAATAATTGTCTGATGGGTTGACTGGTGGTATTATACTACCCAGAGTGGGCAAGGGTTGTGCTAACTTTATATGGGCTTAGGGCTTAGATCTCCATTCCACCGCTGAGTGCATGGCGCCGCTGATGCCACGGCCGTCTTGGCAGGAAGACTGTTTGGGGGAGGCGAAGGCCGAAAACCCTGCTGAGACGCCAATCGCAAAGACCCGGGCCCTACCAAGAGAACTTCTTGCGCTCAGTACGACTGTTACACTCACCGAGCGGCTCCCGCGTTGGCGAGGAAGCCGTTGGCTGACTGGTGGTCCAGCACGCACCTCTTTAAAACTTTATACTTTCACAGAATACCCATGAGTTTCCCTTTTGGCCTTCTTCCCTGAGAGGCTCGCGACGGGACTAGGACTAGGATGCCCTCGAGAGAAATAGATTCAACGCGAGTTGGAAGGTACCGGAGGTGCCGCAAAGCTGTGGAAAGAAACTGGAGTTTTGGCACAGGCGCCCCATGTTCTGATAGTTGCAGGAATATCGACATACCCAAGAGGCTTGGGGAGACGCTTGCAGGCTCTAAGTCTCCAAGTGCAACGACGAAATGAATCGCAGCCGCAGCCGGAAGCAGTACAACAAGGAACCTAAGTTAGATTGTGAAAACGTGATGTTAGTAAGTACACTAGGCGAGGAAGGAGCTGAATGAGTATTTCAACAACAACGACACAACTTTCTTAAATCGCATAGGGAGGCAAAACGAGAATGATGAAAGGATCATGCCATCAGTGTGGAGAATGATTCATGATTGGGAAAGCGGGTGGTGCTGTCAGAAGCACCTTGGGAGCACAACGAGTAGCTAAGGCATGTGACATGTCCCAATGTCATAAGTGTGTTGCCGTGAGTCGTACACGAAGCTGACACAATTAGAGATGTTTGCGTTCTCACCATCTTGGAAGTGTCCAGAAGACCAAGAAGCGAAATTGACAGCACAACCGAAGGCTTTTATAGGGCCGGCCATGGCCATATCCAAGATCCGACAAGCTTCTGCAATCTTGGATCTTGCAGGCGGAGACCGATATTAGCAGTTTCAACCTGTTGAAGAATGAGGGACCCTGGAACCGAGCTGTCAGACACCAAACAAGCTCCTACACGATGTCCGCTTTTAAATAGATTTCAAGCGGCACTGTGCCTGCCGTCTCTCCCCTCCCTCGGCTCTTTGAGCGTGTGGCGCAACATCAGCCACGCGGTCGAAGTAGTCCAACGTCTCAGCCAAGGCCTCGCGAGATACGAGCACACAACGGGGCGACGCGATCAACAACCTGCTGGTGCGTGCAATGCAATGCTGCCTCGAGATACCCCGCTTTCCCCACAAAAAAATTCCAAAGTCAGAGAGACAGGACGCAACCACGAAACATGAACTGCAAGCCGGATCAGCCGGACTCCAGGAAACCACCAGAAGTTCAGCAGACGACGACATGTGTATTCTCACACTTCCTTTTATGCAAGATGGTAGTTATGTAATTAGTCTGTTCGGTGGGATCTCCCAAACCCGACAGCTCTCACTTTTGTGGAAGGTGGCTTGGAGTTTGGGCCCGCGACCACCACCACCACCAGCACCAGGACCAGCACCAGGACCAGCACCAGGACCAGCACCAGCACCAGCAGCAGCAGCAGCAGCAGCAGCAGCAGCAGCAGCAGCACCAGCAGCAGCAGCACCAGCAGCAGCAGCAGCAGCAGCACCAGCAGCAGCAGCAGCAGCAGCAGCACCACCACCACCAGCAGCAGCAGCAGCAGCACCAGCAGCAGCAGCAGCAGCAGCAGCAGCAGCACCAGCAGCAGCAGCAGCAGCAGCAGCAGCAGCAGCACCACCACCAGCAGCAGCAGCAGCACCAGCAGCAGCACCAGCAGCACCAGCAGCAGCAGCACCAGCAGCAGCACCAGCAGCAGCACCAGCAGCAGCAGCAGCAGCAGCAGCAGCAGCAGCGCCGCCAGCACCGCCGCCAGCACCGCCGCCAGCACCGCCGCCAGCGCCGCCGCCAGCCGCCAGCGCCGCCGCCAGCCGCCCAGCGCCGCGGCCGCCGCTCCACCTCCACCTCCCCCTCCACCTCCACCTCCACCTCCACCTCCCTCCACCTCCACCTCCACCTCCACCTCCACCTCCACCTCCACCTCCACCCTCCCCTCCACCTCCACCTCCACCTCACCCCAACCACCTCCACCACCTCCCACCACCACCTCCACCACCTCCACCACCTCCACCACCTCCTCCAACCACCACCACCACCACCACCACCACCACCACCACCACCACCACCACCACCACCACCACCACCACCACCACCACGGGCCCCTCTTCATCTTGCGGGCTTGATTAATCTGGGGTCCGTGACCCCCTGGACCGTGGTTCGGTAGATTGGGGGCTTTTGGCTTGGGGTCTGGGTGGTTGTGACTAAGTCAGGGCTTTAGGGTTCACGAAGGTCTTGGGTTTGCGGCTGACTAAGGGGGTTGAAACTAAAGCTCAAAGGGAAATAGGGTTTAGGCTTGACAGTGCAAGCCCGCTTCTGCAGGTTGACCTTCACTGCCCAGGTGCCAACAGAGTGGCGGCAGTGGGGACGCTAGGTTGTGTCCTGCAGGCTACCATGATTGGTAGCGGGGTGCTTAGGCACTCTTCGTGTTTCCCCCTTCGGTTAGGAGATAGGTTCAGTGCAGGCCCCACCGCGATGGACGATCGCGGCTTGACGAAGCTCGATAAGTGTGGGCGTTAACGAAGATGACTACCTTGAGGGACTTCCAGAAATCTTATAACGGGGACCATGGATCTTCACGCTGTTGGATGGGAAGGCCTTGGAAGCGTGTGACCACCTGTCCTTGGACGACCTCACCAAGGAGAACGGTGATGAGACAATATGGAAGCAGCTGTCCTCCAGGTTCGCCACGAAGGAGGCCCATGACCAGATAGGTGAAGCACTACGCGAGG